GTTTTTTTTTTTTTTTTTTTTTTTTTATAATTATAACACTGATTCAAATTCAATATTTAATAATTTAATTAGATAAAACCAAATAATTTAATGTATTTTTTCAATGTATAGTTAGGCAGCCCATCTCAATTCTAATATTCTTCTACGCACACTACCAAACTTTCTTGTTCCTATCCAGAAGTTGGACAATTAACTCTCAATTTTCAATAAATATAAATATATATATATATTATCGTAGCGAAAATTTATTGGGATGACATTAGATTTAGTGTCTTCGTGAGCATACGTGATAGTTTTTTGTGAATGAGTTCATAATCAGTATCGTTCACAATATAATTAGGCTCGTGTAACTGACTTTATAGCTGTCGTGATTGTAGTATGAGACGACAGTTTGAAATCTAAAATCTGTATACAATTGATTTACACGAGAAGCCGTGCAATTTAAGCTAAATTTTTGTTAGGAGATATATTAAATGATATATTAATTAAATGTTTATTAATTAAAATAGATTTTTTATTTTACAAAATTAAAACGCGTTTAAGAGGAGATTAATCATATTAGAAGAGATAAACAAGATCAGTGTCTATCAGCATGACGTGTCTCATCCATCTGTCATTAATCTAAAGTTCAAGCAGACAGTTTGTATAAACCCTGGGGCCCACATGTACGTCATCACTTCTTTTTCTTCTCTTTAATAAATAATAATAATAATAATAATAATAATTAAGTAGCGTAGCTTTTTATGGAAAAGAAGAGGCAGTAATTATTAAAGCGAAATAAGAGCCTAATTTTGGCTCACTAACGACCTTTTTAGTCGTATTAATGTGTTTAATTTACTTTCTTTATAATATTTATTTAAAAAGTATTAATTTATAACCATATTAATTAAACTCTATTTAAATCATTTAATTATATCAGAAATATATCCATTTACACTATTTAATGTTCAAAATCTCTCATTCCCATCATGATTAAAAAAATATGTGACAACTTTTCATTTTAATTTAATTATGTGAAAATTATACACCAA